CCTTGACTATTTGAGCTGATGTATTGAGTAAATATTTCAACTGTGAGATCAATAAAGACAATCAATCAATATAAATTTGATCGATGCAGAATTTAAGATGAAATAAAGATATATTTTTTTTATCAGCAGAGGAATGATGATGCGGGAGCTGCTGGATGAATCAGATGTTGATCTAATTTCTGCATGTTTCCACAGATCTCTATTCATTCACTGGATAGCTGCTGATTGCCTGTTGGTAGTATAGGGTTAAAGTGAAGCCACCGGCCGCCATATTGGTACTCCCTAGTTAGACCGATCTCAATGTAAACAATACAAGGATGATGTTCTCATTTTTAGGGGAACTTAAGACTTTTAAAATAAAGATAAATTCATCACTTTGACACACACTGACTGTTTCATAGATTACTTACTTATTATTACTTATTACTTTGATTATTTATCAGTAGACTACTTTAACTTCACATTCCATACTCATTATGAAGTCAAATAAATCTCAAAATCATGTAATATAACATATTATAAAATCCATCACAATTAAATTAATGTGTTAATGGAGCATAATAATACAGATGTACCAAAAGTGCCAAATTGATGATGTACAGGTAATATACATGTATTTATTACATTGTTATGGTAATTAAATCTTACTTATAATTTCAAGATTTTACATCAAGACTGAATTATAAGCACATGTCTGTTATTTCTATAGTATTTTTTTCTATTTGGTAATTATGCATGAAAGATGCCAGATACTTTAATGCTGTGTCGTTAAATTAGCCTTTAAAATCTTTGAGTTTTTTTTTAAATCAAGATAACATGCAATCTATTTAAGCACGTGACTTTTTCAAATGAGAAATACAACAAACACCATAAAAATGTAATAAAGAATTACTACATTGGCATTTCATAGTGAATTACTTTCTATTTACTTTCTATTTTCTAATGTTAGACACAATGTTGATGGCTAATTTAGTCAATGATTGTTCCCCTGATTGTGAAATCATCAGTGAAACTTCCTCCCACAGCCAGCAAACTGCTTGTTTCTGCAGCCAAATGCCACACAGGGAGGCATTTTTATGGTCTGTCTCTGTGGGAGTGGGGAGTACCAATATGGCGGCCGGTGGCTGCACTGTTTCCGTGCTTGATCGGTCCAGTGAATAAATAGAGATCAGTGGGCAGGTCCAGCATGCCACTGCTATCAAATGAGCCTCTTCTCAGATCTGCTGAGGAGAACATCTTCCTCCTCCTCCTGATGATGATGATGATTATTCTCCATAAATACTCACCTTAATGCACCCATAGTTAAAAACCAAATAACCTTTCCAACAAAAAGACATCAGATAATCAGATGTTTGATGCTCAGTATTATTATTATTATTATTATTTATTATTTTTTTTTGGAAAAAAAAGATAATATTTTCCGGCATGTAAATATATATTTCTATAATGTTTGTTTTTCTCCCAGGGTGTCAGCTGACCTTTCCTGAAGCCAATTTTAAACTCTGTTCTCACCTCCAAACTGGTACAAGTTTGGTAATCTGATATGAGGCAGCGCTCTAACCAAGTTAGCGGGAGTTACATGGACTCTAGCCGGAAATGCCGAAGTTCGCGCCTTCAAAATAAAACAATAGGCCAACGTGCAGACAAGCAACGTGACTAAAATTCGGGTAAAAATATGATATAAAGTCACAACTTTTTAAATAATTGCAAATCTACCACCAACAGTCTTCCAACCAACTGATGTCAAATTCTCTAAAAATATTATTGGAATTGTTTTGATGTTTAGATTTCTCCTTTTTTAAATTAAAAGTAGTGATTTAGGATTATTTTAGTCACAAGTTAAACCATAACTTTTCTATTTTTATTCACTTAAAGGGCAATATGGTAAAAAAAAAAAAAAAAATTATTGTTCTTGATCCAGATATTTATGTAGGAATTTAATTTTAAACAGTTTTTTTAACCCTTTCTGCTGCTACTTTCAGGAACTGTCAGTTATGAAGTTAATTCAACTTTTTATGATTATAGCATAAATTAAATGCATCCAATGTATGTAGATTAGTAAATCTGTAAAAAGAAAATTTATTTTCCCATCAGTGGACATATGTGATATTGTGGAGGAAGTCCTGAGCAGTGTGTTATCCTTTCTGCCTTTGGGATCAATGTTTTAGCTCTGATGGTTTCAGGATTCTGATCACTGAACTGAACTGGTTTCCTGTTTCTGGTTCAGTGGTGAACAGTGTGTGTTCATGTCAGCTAATGCCATCAGCAAATTCTGTAAGGAAAAACAAAAACAGATTCATTCCTGTATAGATTGAGTGAAATATAAATAAATAGATGAATGGCGTCTTACATTTACATGTACAGTTGAAGCCATTCATAATGGCAGTTTCCAGTCAAATGCCAGCCGAATGGCCGCTCACTTCCCTGCAGCTCCCAGCAAAATCCCCTCCAACTTCCAGCCACTGGCCTTCTCCTGGGTCTGCATATTTCTTCACTGACTTCAACCTTCCACTGAATTACAGGGTCTGACCAGGAGATGACGCTTCTCTTTAGGTCATGACAGAAAGAATATTTTAGTACAAAGATTGATGTTTAAAAAGGAATTGCAAGGACGATCAAAGAAAGTGGGGATATTATAAATGGCTACTACTGTAACTGTTTAGACTAGGGGTCTTCAATGTTTTCCAGACTAAGGACCCCCAAACTGTTGGCCAGATGCAGTGGGGACCCCCTAATTATATATATCGTATGAAATAGTGTTCTATCAAACTGGTCCTATAGTTACTCTATTACATATGGAGCCATGTAACGAAAGTAATTTCTCCCTGGAATTATTAAAGTGTTTATGATTCCTGGTTGATGGGACAGGTGTTGTGAATGAAACGGTGCCCAGCTTGAAAGAGCTCCTGTGTGTCGCTGAGTGTGTGCATTGATGACTGAAAGACATCTTCTGCCTCCAGTTATCTGTTTACTACAGTCTGTTGAATTCATGTTAATGTGGATTTAAAACATTTCAATTAGTGGAAAAAATTGCAGGGGGGAATATAAAAAAAGTCTTTTGCCCCTCCATGCAATACATCCATGCTTAGAGACTTTGTAGCTGAAAGAAGGAGATGGAACCAAAACTTTCGGAGCCTTAACCCCAAAACCCAATATGGCTGCCATACATTAAAAGTTGTAAAAAATAAAATCATGTTTATTGGTAGCTCTGAAGGCTTCCTGTAATTTCTGCCACACACTTCACTGAATATAATGTTTATGGAGATGGCCCTGATTAACTAATTTTAAATAAATTCAGTTTGGTAAACCTCACTGCTTTTTCTCTTTTTTAAATTGGAACAAGGCTATTTAAGGGATTAAGTAATACCTGAATGGGACTTCTAATGCAAAAACATCCATTTTCCATCACGCTTTATCCCAGCTGGGCTCTCCAGCTGTCTTCAGGCGAGAGGCGGGGTCCACCCTGGACACGTGTCCAGTCCATTGCAGGGCAACGCAGAGACAAACAGGATAAACAACCATTCACGCACACATTAACACCTAAGGAGGATTTAGAGAAGCCTATTAACCTAACAGTCATGTTTTTGGACTGTGGGAGGAAGCAGGAGTACCCGGAGAGAACCCACGCATTCTCAGAGACAACATGCAAACTCCATGCAGGAAGACAAAAGAAAAACATCTGATGGCTAATTTATCTCAAAATAAGACTAATTGGATTTTTAGCTCAGAGCTGGTGAAAAATTTATATTTCCCCGCAGACGCTGAGCCAGTTTATGGTGCTAAATTAAACATGAATGAATATTTAGTGTTTACACACCATCGGTGTCATGGGACAGGGGGTCTCCAGATGTGTTTGCTGGGGAGGGGATTGGAAGCTGGTTTGGTGGGTGAGTCAGATGAGAGAGAGGTTAGATGGGTGCCAAGGTGGCTGATAGGTGGTGGGGGACTGGGGTCACCTTGCGGGGGACAGAGTCCGGGAAAATAGCGTCGGCTGCGTCCTGTATTTTAGTACAGGACTGCACCTGTTAAAAAACTGTCCCTTTTGAAATAATAAAAAAATATATATATAGTTAATAATTCCACGTTGAGATCAAGTATCATAAAATATAGCTGGTTAGTTAGCAAGGCTACGGTTACCTTAGCTTTCAAACCAAGGGGATGGGTTAAATGCAGAGGGGAATTTCTCCAATGTGAGATTAATAAAGTTTAATTATTATTATTATTATAATTTTTATTACAAACATGTTGGGGCTAATGCTACTAGGGCCTGAAGTGGCGCGGCAGATGGCTGTTCACACTGAGCCTGGTTCTGGAGGTTTCTTCCTGTTAAAAGGAAGTTTTTCCTCCCCACTGTCGCTTCAAGCATGCTTAGTGTGAGGGATTGCCTTGGAGTCAATGAGTCGATGCAATCAACTGGTTTTCCTTAGATAGAAAACTTTGAGTCAATTTGACTGGATGATTTTATTTTGTTTTTATATTTGTATTTTTCATTGTAAAATTCTTCTGTTTTTAGGTAGACAATTTTAAGATCTGTCCAGGGACAACAGATGAAAAATAGCCTTTTGGCTAATTCTGGTGCATTTTTCAGGAATGCTTATTAATGTCACATAAAAAAAAAAAAAAAAATCTAAATCTGATCTGGGTGAACTGTAAAGTGCCTTGAGATTACATGTGTTGTGTTAAACGGGAGCTATAAAAATAAACAGAATTAAATCAAATTAAAAAAATCAAATAACTTCCATGTTGATATCAAATATCATAACGGGTTAGTTAGCAAGGCTATGCTAACTTTAGCTTCCAAACGTGTTTGGGACATAAAGTGGTTAATTGTTTATATATTTCTGTTTATGCACAGAAATATATTTATCTTATTGTTCTTTTCATTAACCGTTTTAATGTGTTTTATTTATTCATCCAAACATATTTCTCCCAAACTAAATGTTTGACTCTTTTATTGTGAAAAACCTAAGCGGCAGTCGTGTTTCTTATGAGCTGTAACTTGACGTCATCAGCAGAGATGGTTAAGTTGGAGCAGCTGATGTCGCTCTAAAAATAATCCCTCTGTCCTTTCCAACTCTCCCCTATTTAGTTTCTTTTCCTTTTCTTCTGTGTTTTCCAGTATTGGTGGAATGAGAAGGTTTCGGTGAGGAGACTTTGTCTGTTTGCAGGTAAGACACCTTTATTAATCTGATCTCTGTCTCAGGGATTACTGGAGTTTTTTTTTTTTTTATTAAATTGTGGAACTTTTTGTTTTAAAATTTGTCTGTAAATGAAAGTAAATGTTTTCCTGAAATAATTCAATTTTTTTCTATCTCTATACTTTGGTTTTTACTTATCTAAATAAGAGTTTATTTACTTATCTAAATATAGAGTTTATTCAGCTAAACTCTATATGTAAAAAAAAAAATACACAAAATAAAAGGCTAAAATTCCAATAAAAAAATGGTTTGATTTGAATAAAATAAACTGTCTAAAAAAATTAAATAAATGAGGCCACCCCTTTTTAACTACTTTATAATGACCTTTTTTTCTGGTTAGATTTGTTTTAGTTGATCTTTTTTCACATAAAGATGCTTCTTCAGGCCTCAGTAATGATGAAAATCCATCCATCGGCAGGAAACATGTTTAGATAGACTCCACCTTTAAATCAAAGCAGTAAAACAGAGAATATATGGTGCTAGAAGTCCAACATTTCCTAACAGCTCCTGTGTGTCATGGTTTTAAACCATAGAAGAAGAAAGCTGAGCCTGGAGGCCAAAGTGTGCCGGGATTGTCGGTCTGATTCCTGTTCTTCTCCCAGTCTGAGTTCAGGAGTGAGAGGAGCCGATGGCTGGAGGCCTGCCTTTGTCGTTTTGCGGTAACAACAAGGTTCCCAACGCCTACAGCGTGGAAAAGGGGGTGCTGAACAATGGCTGCCTCGTGGACGCTCTCAACCTGGTTCCTCACGTCTTCCTGCTCTTCATCACCTTCCCCATCCTCTTCATCGGTAGGTGGTGAAGCTGTCTGCTCCTATTTCCGTCGTCTCGGTGAAAAATGGCGGCCTTAGGAACTCGGATCCAGATGAATTCTGGAGCTGTCCAGCAGAGATGCTTCAGCGCTAAGTTCCACCTCTTAACTTCCTGTTTTCAAGCTTCCAGCAGCTTTCAGGTGGAGTTCAGCTGAAGGTCCAGGAGGATCTGAGACCCAGAGCTGATATGGAACCAGCTGCTGCTTCCTGGGAGGAAAAGGTCAAAGGTCGTGCCGTAAACGACCGTTGAATATTACCTCCTTGTTTTCTCAAATATTTCTGACGATCAAACTAGTTTTTTAGCATCCCGCAGAATAAATACAGGAAGTAGTTTTTAAATGATTAAAATTGTTTCAGTCCTTCATGGAAACTAATGATTTACCTCAGATTGATGGTAACATGAAGTAGGCTGAGCGATCCCAGAAAGAAACACATGATCTAAAGAAGTTAAAAAACAGATGAGGAACATCTATCACACTGGAAAACGATCTTGATATAAGTAAAAATGTCTTAACTTAGGTGTATTTACCCTTATTTTGAGTAGATAAATGACATAGTTTGCCAATGGAATGGAATTTTTACTCTTAAAATAATAACATGCATTTGAAATAAGACAAAGCAACTGTGTTTTCTTATTTTAGATGTAACTTGTCTTCTTCCATTATCAAAATTTCTCTTTTACCTCCTCAATCCAAGAACAAATGCACTTATTTTAAGAAAAAATGACTTATCTAGATTTAGATTTGTGTAACCCAGTGCAGCCTGGGTTACACAATGGAAAATTTAAATCTAAGTTTATTTTTCTTAAAGAAACAGCATTTTTTCTTCAATTAACTAGTTCAGTAATACACTTTGCCAATGGATTAAGGCAATTTACATATAAAATAAGAAAAAACAATTGCGTTGTCTTATTCCAAGTGGATCTTATCTAATTATCTACTTTTAAAAGTAAAAATACTCATTCCACTGGCAAATAATCTTATTTACCTGCTTAAATTAAGACTAAATAATACACTTATTTAGAACCAACAGAACCGTTCTTACATTGGAAAAACAATCTAGAAATAAGTAAAAATGTCTTAAATTAAATGTATTTACCCTTAATTTGAGTAGGTAAATGAGATAGTTTGCCAATGGAATGAGTATTTTTATTCTTAAAATAAGATAGATAATATGCATTGAAATAAAAAAATGCAGTTGCGTTTTCTTATTTTAAGTGTAAATTTTCTTGTTCCATTAGCAAAATTTCTCTTTTACCTCCTCAATCAAAGAAAAAATGCACTTATTTTAAGAATAAATGACTTAGATATAGATTTTTTCCAGTGTAAAGGTTTTGGACTCATAGAACCTCAGAGAGAAACCACGATGAGGTAGAAAGGCCGAGAACCGCCAGGTGCTGCTATGAACCAAACACCAGGAAGCTGCCTGTTCTTCCAGAACCACTGAAGGTTTTACTTTGGGTTTTTAAATGGTTCTGCAGCCGTCGTCCATCAAGGTATCTCATAAAGACCTGGTGATGTTCTAAGCCCAGTTAAACCTGTAGGAACCTTTAGAAAAACACCAGAACTCCCTAAAATCTGATCTGAAATTTACTAAAGCAGCATCAAACCTGATGTTGTTAATGAGATTAATAAGTTAAAGTGATAAAATTTAAGCCTCAAAGAGGGGAAAAAACTTCATCCAGTAAGCGCTGCAAAAACTATAAATTTAAGGCAAATTTTCCTTAAATAAGCCATTTTTCCTTGAATAAGTGAGAAACTTTGCCAATGGAATAAGACAATTTAAATAAAAAAATAAAAAAACACTATGTACACTCTTATTTCAAGGGCATAATATCTAATTATCTTATTTTAAGAGTAATAAAATCTCATTCCAGTGGATATTTTCTTATTTAGCTGCTCAAATTAAGGGTAAATTCACTTAATTTAAGATGTTTTTAATAATTTCCAGATTAATAACATAGATATTCCTGCTGAAGTCTTGAAATGCGTATCAGTCCGTATGCTGAGCAGAGTTTATGTTTCCTCAAACCGTGACGGATCAACAGATTCATTCCTGATAAGTCAGATATGAAAATCCATCAGATGGACATGCTGCAGACAATCACACATGCTCTGAAATAGTTGCTAAAGGCGCGTTTAACTGTAGAAGGACGCAGGCTTGGCTCTGCTGAGCGGGCAGAGAGCGCGCCGAGAACCTGCTGCTATGATGGATGGCTCACTGGCTGCTTTAGTCTCACAGACACACAGCAGCTCTGGGAGGAACCGTGCGTCAGCGGCGCCAGCTCAGCTTCTCACTGCGCTTCACACTGCAAAAACAATCTAGAAATAAGTCAAAATGTCTTAAATTAAGTGTATTTACCCTTAATTTGAGTAGGTAAAGGAGATAGTTTGCCAACAGAATTGGTATTTTTACTCTTAAAATAAGATAATTAGATAATATGCACTTGAAATAAGACAATGCAAATGTGTTTCCTTATTTTAAGTGTTCCTTTGGCAAAATGTCTCTTTTACCTCCTCCAATCCAAGAACAAATGCACTTATTTTAAGAAATAAACGACTTATCTAGATTTAGATTTTGTCCAGCGCACTCCTTGCAGTCGAGGAGCTAATCGACGGATCCTTATTTTAGAGTCACCCTATAGCAGCCATAGGGGAATACAGAGAGCTGTCATCTGAAGCCAGGAAGTATTCTGAGCTCTGACAGGACACTGGCTATGGGGGGAACTTTGGTCCAAGATTGTTTTTTATAAATGGAAATTTGGAAACATGCATTCCAAAACTTAAACTGTGAATTTTTATTTCATTTAAAAAAAAAATTTTTGCCAGTCTTTTTTTTTCATCTTTTAAAGTAGTAGGAAAGTGGCCGTTCCAACCGTTTAATTTCCAAATTCTCCCGAGTGGTGCCCGACTTTACAGTGGGAGTGAATAAAGTGAATGTGATTGGTCGTTTATTGTTGTGGCGGAAGGTTTGCAAGGAAGTTTGGTTGTTGCCGGTTTGTTGGAAGCATCTTGCTAACCAGTTAGCAACTTAGTGCTAGTAGGTTCCCAATGGGAAATTCCATTGGGACCAAGTAGCACTAAATTGGTGACTTAGAAACGACACTGTCAAGGAACGCTATGGACAGAGGAAACATGCAAGAGGAGGAGAGTTTAGTGTCGGAGGTCGTGGATGAGTCTCCTCCGTCATCCATTTTTTTTTAGAGGAGGAAAGCGGGATGAAGATGTTGTGGAAGAGGACGCCAGGGCGGCAGAAGCTTGGTTTGGTGTAGAAGGCTTACAGCCGTACATGTTTGAGCCCTTGCCTCGCAACGCTGCCAGTTCTGTTAGCTCTACGCCTGCTGAAGACACAGACGTTCATCCCCGTGAACACTGGGACGGAACTCAATGGGAAAGGCAAGGATTCTTATTTCTTATTTCAGTCGTTGCGTAAATTAGCTGCGACATATGAATCAAGATGCTATAAGCAAAAAAATTTGATTGACAGATGACCGTTGATATGTGATTGGCTGAATTTAGGTGTTCAGGCTGACGTAGAACTAACTGGCCTGCAGAAGATAAAGAGGAAAAAAAACTGATTTTAAGACAAGATTTTTTTTATTTTTATAGAAATTTTCTAACTTTTGGGACATTATCGTCTGATAAAGAGTACTTTATTTCTACATGTTAAAGTCAGAATGATTTGACATTTAAATATGACTCCCTACGACTTCAACAATTTCATATTTTGTTGGTTTATTTGTTCAAATTTGTGTTTTTCAGATTATTTTTTTTTTTATTACATTCATTTTATATTGCGTTTTCAATCCAAAGGCTCACTCTTAACCAATAAAGATGTTGCTAACATCCAGCAGACCGATAGAAATGCATCTTCGCTCCTCGCTCCAGAGGAAACCCGCCCAAAAGTGAAGAGACACTGATCTGGATAAGGCAATTTGAAAATAATTAATAATTAAATCCCAAAAAACAGAAATAATAAAAAAAATAGTAATAATTTTATATGAAATCTGTAAAATGAAAAATTCAATAAAAAAATCTATTTTTTAAATACAAAATCTAAGAAAATAGTTTTTTTCTGGATTGCATTTTTTTTTTTATCCGTTTATCAAAGTTAAAAAAAGTATTTTGTTAACAACAATAATGGAACAAACTTCCCTCGATAACTATCAGGGAAAAACAAACAGATTTAATTCAATAATCACTTCTAATGATCAATAATCACTTCTAATGATGAATTCTAATGATCCGGGAACATTCACATAACAGATGGACAGACCGGACTGTTTGGAATCAACAAAATCAGAGAAAAACCGTGAGGGGCTGATGTCTCCATAGGTTAATGATTGGCTGAGGTTTGTCTGATGCCCTGATAGCACTGTTGCCATGGTTACTTGAACCATAGAACTCTTTTTTTCTAGCTTATCGAAATCTAGAGAAGTATTTTCTTCTTAAATTAAGTGCATTTGTTCTTGAATTTAGGAGGTAAGTGAGACATCTTGCCAATGGAAGAAGACAATTTACATTTAAAATAAGAACAAACAATTGCATTGTCTTATTTCAAGTGCATTTTATCTAATTATCTTATTTTCAGAGTAAAAATACTAATTTCATTGGCAGATCATCTCATTTACCTACTCAAATTAAGGGTAAATACACTTGATTTAAGACATTTGTACTTATTTCTAGATTGTTTTTGCAGTGTAAAAGAAGTGCTGACCAAATTTTACACATCTGATTTTTTCTTTGTTATTGCAAACTTTCAATTCTTAGTTAAAGATCAAAACAATTAATTTTTCTTAAATAATCTCTCCACAGAGAGGAAGTACAAGAATAAAAGGATTCATTTTAGTGAGGTAAAAAAAAAAAAAAAAAATATATATATATATATATATATATATATATATATATATATATATATATATATATATATATATATATATATATATATATATATATATATATATATATATATATAAATAGGAATGCATGATGATGTCCTATTTTCTTCCATGGACCTGCTGACAGACACCAGGTAAATTTCTGCCTCCTGTCCTTTAAAAAATATCTACACCGCCAATATTTTTACTTCAGCGGACTGCAAATACTGCATAAACATATGCCTTAAAAAAATTCTTTGTATTTGTCCTCAATTTTGAGGACAAATCAATGAGATGATCTTTTAGTGGAATAAAATAAAATAAAATACAATTAGATATTAACACCCTGGAAAAAGATGATTAGGTTGTTTTTTCTTATTTTAAACAGAAATAATCCTACTTTATTAGCAAATTGTCTCAGTTACAGAGGAAAATACACCTCTTTGAATAAATATTAAATTACACATTAATTTTTGCAAAGCATCTGCTGAGGCCGACTAGGGTTCAAGGAGACAGAAGCAGAGATAGAAAAAGCAACTGTTAAAGGCGTCCCTTTTCAGGAAACACACAGCCAGGCAGAAGAGCTCAGAGCCAGCTCCCATGTCACACTGGAAAAAAATCAAAATCTAGATAAGTCAGTTTTTCTTAAAATAAGTGCATTTGTTCTTGGATTGAGGGGGTAAAAGAGACATCTTGCCAATGGAACAAGACAATTTACACTTTAAATAACAAAAAACACAATTACATTGTTTTATTTTAGGTGCATTTTATCTAATAATCTTATTTTAAGAGTAAAAATACTAATTCCATTGGCAAACTATCTAATTTACCTACTCAAATTAAGGGTAAATACACTGAATTTAAGAAATTGTTACTTATTTCTACATCTTTTTCCAGTGCAGAAGATGAAGAGAGAACATCCAGGCAGTCACAGTCAGAGAAACAGGACTACACTGAAAAACAAGCTAATCTCCAACATCCATAAACAAAGGTGTTGATGGCAGCAGCACAGCTGATATTTCTCTCCAGGATGGAGTCGCAGCCAAACAGGAACAGACCAGATGAAGCTACTATGAGAAAAAGCAGAGAAAGCAGAACGTTAGAGATTGAACTAACAGATTCTTCAGAGTAAGATAATAGAGATAGAATGAAGCAGAATGATGAAAAAGGGGTCCCTATGTCCTCCAGCATTCTAAGCCCATAGCAGCTATAACCAGAAGGCAAGACCTGTGTATCCTGGCTGAGGTACATCCAGATCTTTGAATCTGGTTGGTCCAAAACAAGATATTTGAAATCTGGGCCCTGAGGAAGGCAGCAGGAGGCTGTAGGTTCAGACGCCTTATTTAGTGTGTGACAGATTACTGAAGGGAGGTCTCCTCACATTTCCGTCACAAAGACACATTTTATCAGTGAATTCTATTGGTGTAACGGCTACTATGAGAAAAGAGAGAGCAGAACGTTAGAGATTGAATTCTGCAGAGTGGGAGAATAGAGATAGAATGAAGCAGAATGATGAAAAAGGGGTCCCTAGGTCCTCCAGCAGTCTAAGCCTATAGCAGCATAACTATAGAGATAGCACTGATCTGACATTTCGGAACGATGAACTAAAAGTCCCCCAAGAACAGAGCCCTGAGGAACCACGCTTGATCTCCGCACAGAGCTGAAATCAAACCTTATCAGTCTGCTGATCAAACACAAAGGAAAGTCTCTGGATTTGGCTGACGTATCGCTGATATAGTTCTGTGTAGCTGGAGCATCCATCCGGTCTGCTCACCAGTCTGTGTCTCTGTCCTCCAGGTTGGGGCAGTCAGAGCTCCAAGGTGCAGATCCATCACAACACCTGGCTTCATTTTCCGGGTCACAACATGAGGTGGATCCTCACCTTCCTGCTCCTCTTCGTCCACGTGTGCGAGTTCGCCGAGGGAATCGTCTCCAACACGTCAGTGTGCGGCAGGACTTCCTGCGCCAGAACCCTTCCTGACGCCGATGTTTGCAGCTGCTAGACGCTGATGCTGTTTGTTTCTGTAGGATGATGAGCACCAACCACCTCCACCTGTTCATGCCGGCCTTCATGGGTTTCATCGCAGCCACGACGTCCGTGGTTTACTACCACAACATCGAGACGTCCAACTTCCCCAAGCTGCTGCTGGGTAAGGCCCCAGAGAAAGACCCACTGAAGCTGAAGCTGATCTGCTAACGCTCCACCTTCTGCCTCTGCCCCCAGTCCTCTTCATCTACTGGGTCTTAGCGTTCATTACCAAGTCCATAAAGCTGTGGAAGTTTGCAGAGTTTGGGATCAGGTTCAAGTACCTGAGGTTCTGCATCACGGCGCTGTTGGTGGTTCTGTACGGACTCCTGATGGCCGTGGAGATCAATGTCATCAGAGTCAGGGTTGGTGGCCTCATCTCCTCCTGCTTCACCTCCATGATCCGGTTCACTAATTCAGCTCTGGTTGTCTTTTCTTTTTTGGTAGAAATACATGTTTTTCACCAACCCCCAGAAGGTGAAGCCCCCGGAGGACCTGCAGGACCTGGGGGTCCGCTTCCTGCAGCCGTTTGTCAACCTGCTCTCTAAGGTGCTTCTCTGATTCCCTCCTTCCATCCTGAACCCTGCGGTTCTTCCTAACTGTTGCCGTTCTGGATCCTTTTCTTGGTCTTTTTCTGCTTCCAGGCGACGTACTGGTGGATGAACCCGCTCATCATCGGGGCCCATAAGAGGCCCATTGAGCTGAAGAAGATCGGCAAGCTGCCCATCGCCATGAGAGCCCTGACCAACTACCTGAGGCTCAAAGACGCCTACGAGGATCAGAGGGTGAGCAGAGCCGCGCTCCAGACGCCGATCCGGTTCTTTTCCTGCTACATTTAAGGAAGAGGAATAATAAAAGGATCGTTATTTATACCTAAAACTAAAGATGTTTGCTGTGATTTAATGAATTTAGCGTTAATCAGTAACAAAATAAAAACAATAATTTTCCCAAATATAGTAACCCCTCCCTCCTGCCATCTTCCAGCAGTGACGTCATGGTGCGGTAAGCCTAGCGCCATTCTCCCCGCTTTACAAGCAAAATCAATGGGAACTACTAGACACATCTGCAATCAACAACAATTATTGAAGATTTCCAGATGACTTCACCATTGAAATTCACCAGAGCTATAGTGAAACTGACAATGCCCACGTGCATGGCAGCTGGATGTTGGAATACATCGGGGAAAAGTGAGAAAAAAAGGAGTCCGATTCCTGATCATCCGATTCATGCCATCGAACCTCTGGCCAGAGAAAAAACATGTAATATAATAATGATGCATTTTATTTAACAGCGCCTTTCTGGAAACTCAAGGTCATTTTACAGAAGATAAAAATGAAAATACAAAAAATCTAACACAGGAACGTAAAAACTGTTCTGGGGAGGGACAAGAGCAATGTATTTATAAATAAGCGAGCTGGAACAGAGTTTTGAGTCTAGTTTCGAATAAGGAGAGAGAGTCAATACTGCGGAGGTCAGGAGGGAGCTGGGGAGCAGAGCCTTCAGCCGCTCTGCTCCCCATGGTGACTAGTCCAGCTGGGGGTACAGTGAGGCGGATGGAGGAGGAGGATCTAAGGGAGCGGGAAGAGGTGGCGATGTGAAGGAGGTCTGACAGATATGAGGTTATGGATGGCTTTGAAATGAATTGAATTGAATATGTAGCCAACATTTGGAAGATGACTTGGATAATAGCGCGTTGTGACAAACACCAGATACAGCACTGGGACTTGATCAACAGCCGATACCGCAACGTGACGTCACAAACCAGTAGGTGGCAGTAGTGTTCTTTGACAAGCATGGATGCCTCCAGTAAAGCACATTGAAATGAAAATTACTCTTAATTAAAAACACTTATTTATTGAGCAGTATGTATAATTTCCTACTTAAAGTTCTTTCAGTAGTTTGAATTCTGAATATGACCGGACTTCCTTCCTTTAACCCTCCCCCTGTCCTCCCACAGACGGGTGAAGATCCGGACCGAGCTCCGTCCATCTGGCGCTCCATGTACAGAGCCTTTGGCCGGCCGATCCTGCTCAGCAGCACCTTCCGGTACCTGGCGGACCTGCTGGGCTTCGCCGGGCCTCTCTGCATCTACGGCATAGTCCGGAACCTGGAGGTGCCGAAAAACTTCACATCAACCGACAAGGAAGTGGTGAGCTCCGCTCCCTGCTGCTTGGCTTTAAAAGTCCTGGAACAGAACCGTTCAAATGGATCAGAACCAGAATCTGATCCTGTTCTGTTCATCTGTTTTGTTCCAATAAATGCAGCAATACTTTGATCTAAATTAATAGGTTTAATTCAAATATACGCCTGTATTAATAAACATATTAATTATATTTATTATAGAACTTTATTTATTTCTGTCTCCTTGAACCCCAGTCAGCTTTAGCAGATGGCCGCTCACTGAGCCTGGTTCTGCTGGAGGTTTCTTCCTGTTAAAAGGGAGTTTTTCCTCTCCACTGTCCCTACAAGCATGCGTAGTGTGAGGGATTGCTGAAGAGTCAATGAGGCGAGGCAATCAACTGGTTTTCCTTAGATAGAACACTTCAGATCAATTTGACTGGATGATCTGGTGAACTGTAAGGTGACCTGAGATGGCATTGGCGCTATAGAAATAAACTGAATTGAATGAATTAATTAGTGAAACATTGTTAATTGGCAGTCTGCCAGCCTCTTCACAGGGTCGGGGTGAGGTAACGGTAGAAGAAGAGCAGATGTTTCTGGGATGACGCCATGTTTTCACGCTCTGCGTCGCTCTGGCTGCCCCTGTCAGGTGGGTTCAAGTGGGCAACAAAGACAGAGAGCAGAGCCTGGCTGCATTTTTCAAAGCATGGAAAGTTCCCCACTCAGCCGTCTGTGGAACATCGCTGTGGGAAACTACCCCCACCTCTTTACTTTTTCAGCAAACAACAACTTTGTACAAATATGGCTTTCTGCTCTGAATTTCTCCAATTGTATCGTCAGATCATCTTTAAGATGGAATTTTGCTGGATGATCAGAAACATGAATAAATGTGATGCAGCAGCTTGAGGTTCTGTGTCTGAATGTTCTGTCTGTGCTTTCAGGATAACGATTTTGGTGTGTACTTCATGCACACCACCGAACTCATGGAAAACAGCTCTGTGTTGGCCGTTCTGCTCTTCCTGGCTCTGGTCCTGCAGAGAACCTTCCTTCAGGCCTCCTACTACGTCACCATTGAGACGGGCATCAACCTGAGGGGGGCTCTACTGGCGAGTTAACCTAATTAAATCGTTTTTAAAGCGTTTACAACTAACAAGTCAGAAAACAATTAAATTACACTGCAAAAAATGGAAATCTAAATAAGTAATTTCTGCTTAAATTAAGTGCATTTTTTCTTGAATTGAGCAGGTAAATGACACTTTGCCAATGGAAAAACGACAATTTAAATTTAAAATAAGAAAAAAACAATTGCATTGTCTTATTTCAAGTGCAGATTATCTAATTATCTTATTTGAGGAGTAAAAATACTAATTCCATTGGCAAATCATCTTATTTACCTACAAAATTAAGGGTAAATGCACTTAATTTAAGAACTTTACTTATTTCTAGATTGTTTTTGCACAGTGTACAACTGTAAAATGTGTACCAACATGTACATCTAAGACATTGTTAGAAAGCTTAGATTCTCCAAAATTCAACCACCTGGTTCATTTCATGCACACAGCGAGCAACAAAGCACAATTAACACAGATGTAACAGCATGGTGACATGTAAACATGACAAAGAAGCCACTATGGAAAAACAATCTAGAAATGAGCCAAAGATTTCTTAAATTAAGTTTATTTACCCTTAATCCGAGTAGGTAAATTACATTTTTACTCTTAAAATAAGATAATTGGATAATATGCACTTGAAGTAAGAGAATGCAAATGTGTTTTCTTATTTTAAATGTAAATCATCTTGTTTCATTGGCAAAATGTCTCTTTTACCTCCTCAATTCCAGAACAAATGCATTTATTTTAAGAGAGAATTAGTTATCCAGATTTTGATTTTTGTTTTTTCAGTGCACAACAAAATACATTTAAAGGCATCCAGAAGTCATATTATAAATCCAATCTTTAATTGTTTATACTCCATTTGTCCATACGGGTCCACAAATTAAAAGTAATCCAGAATAATTATCATAAAAACATTCCATGATGACAAAATCACTAAATAACGTCTGTTTTTTGACGTCAGAAAAGTTAGCTGGTCATAGCTAATGTTTAGCATCTTGCGAATAAGACTTCCTTAAATCTTTTTGTTTTTTTACATCGTCTTGCTACCTACAAAACAAAAGTGTCCAGATCTTTGCATGACTCGATTTGATTCAGGGACAGCCCAGGAAGTCTCAAAAGTGCTCCCTGACTGTCAGCCAATGATGTACCGAGTAGTTATTCACTAAATGAAACTTTTTATATTTTTTTGTATTATTCATCTATTTTTTATATAAATAGTTTTACAGTTCAAAAATTAGCTTTATTTTTTTTTCATAAAAAATTCAATGAATGAATTCCGCACAACTGGAACAGTTTGGCACAATCTGCACTGGAAAAATAATCTAGAAATAAGTGAAGATTTCTTGAATTAAGTGTATTTACCGTTAATTTGACTTTGTAAATCAGATAGTTTGCCAATGGAATGAGTATTTTTACTCTTAAAATAAGATAATTACATAAAATGCACTTGAAATAAGACAATGCAATTGTAATTTCTTTCTTGTTCCATTACCTCCTCAATCCAAGAACAAATGCATTTATTATAAGAAAAAAAAAAGACTTATTTAGATTTCGATTTTATCCAGTGTGGCACTGGCGCTGGTGACACCAGAAGTTTAAAGTCTCACAGCTCTGGAACTGTTATACCTAGATGTCTGAAAGTTCCTGCAGGTGTGGTTGACATCATGAAAGATGTAATAAAATGAGACATGCCTATTCTCAAGCATGTTCTCTATTACTGCTGTTCAAAAAGGTCCCTTATTTTCCCGAAGATAAAAAATTACTTGGAGTCATGTTTGATGCAGCTTAGGCTGTGTTTTACTCACACTATATTCATTTATATTTTCAAATGATGATCACAAATATAATTTGGGATTGCAGTTCCTCAGTTATTTGTTTTTCTATTTGGGTATGCAAAATAGGCAATGATTACCCCAAATTAGGTGGGTTTTTAAAGCAGCAAGTCCCACACTGACAGCAGGGAGGCCAGAAGAACCGTAACATTGTTAAACACATACTGGAAAGTTTTAATACTTTTAAATATTTCAAGGATTTTATAAGCTGTGTTTAATGGGAATAATGTTGAAGAGCTTCAGAAAGTTTGGAGGTTTTGTCCTTCAAAGCGACTCTGGTTTATTCTTTGATATTTCATCTCCAGGCGATGATCTACAACAAAATCCTTCGACTGTCCACCTCCAACATGTCGATGGGGGAGATGACTCTGGGTCAAATCAACAACCTGGTCGCCATCGAGACCAACCAGCTGATGTGGTTCCTCTTCCTCTGCCCCAACCTCTGGGCCATGCCTGTACAGGTGAGCTCTGCTTCAAAGAAAACTAAGCTCCAGATGTTCTGCTTTGGCTGTGGAGAACTTTCAGCTCTGCTCTTTATCTTAGATTGTGATGGGAGTGATTCTGCTCTACAACTTCTTGAGCTGGAGTGCTTTGGTGGGAGCATCGGTGATAGTTCTGTTGGCTCCGGTTCAGTACCTCATTGCTACAAAGCTGGCGGAGACACAGAAAAGCACCCTGGTAAGCAGTGAAGTCATGCATGTTGAACTCTGGAGTTGCGGTTGGGTCATCAAGATCCCAACAAGTTGTTTGGTTTGGGCACATCTCCCAGGGGTCCACCAATGCTCAATCTGGGCCCTGTTTGCTTTTACACCACCTCTCTGGGGTAGAACATCTGATCACATGCGTCTCCTAGCAATGGCGTAACAACACAACAATAGGCCTGTATGCATTATTATCTGGGTGGGCCCCATATGAAGTACAAAAAGTACCACTGTCTGCTTTGCTATTGGTGTCGTGTTTAAACGGCTCACCATCATGTTGAAATCTGCCATGTGTTGGGGTATAAATACGGTCCAGTCAGTTAATGTAGCATCATTACATCTGCAAAGAGACGTCCTAGTCCACAATTGTATAAGCTACTGCATACTCTGCTTACCGATAGTTACGTTTTTGTCTCCTAATAATGCCATTCCGACGATACGCAGATGATACCCAGATCTATCGCCATGATGATCACATGGTCTCAGAGGAAGGACGTCCTGACATGGATGAACCCCCATCACTTCCATTTAACCTTCTCTAAAACTAAACTGCTCTTCTTCCCAGCCAAACCAACCAGAACCAGGATATCTGCATCCAAACAAAATGTTTAAGAAGTGTCTTTATAAGGTAAAAATGCTGATATGCTGGTGAAGATTCTCATCCGGGTCATAGTCATTCCAAAAAAGTTTAAAAAAAATAGTCTACTGGACTTTGTTTCCAAGTTTGAAGACGTTTCCCTCACCATCCAGGATGCTTTTTCAATTCAAAATGTCAGAAATAGCGTTGAGTTCGCGGGATGATGGGCTACTGTTATAAAACCTTCTGACATTTTGAATTAACAAGCTTCCTGGATGGGAAACAAAACGTCTTACTTGGAAACAAAGTCCAGTGGATTGTTTTTTTTTACTTTTTTTGGAGTAAAAATGTTAGCTTATCAGGGGGAGTTGTTTTGATTATTTCTTATGATTTATCTCTGTGCTTGTTAAACCCTAATAATACCTGCCTGCTACATGTTAAAGCTCACGTTTTCCCAAGCAGGTTATATAATCGGGACAAGAATTGGAAATGAAATGGGAGCAAACAGACAGAGTGGATTATTTTTAACAGAGAATCTGTGTATTCAGAGTTTTCTTCATCTAGAAGACTGTGTTACCTGAATAGGGCTGGAGCCAGAGACATCTCCTCATTTATAAACATGTGTACGATGTGATGATGTGGCCCTGGAGGCGTATAAAATTCTTCTTTAACTGTTGATTATTCCCGATGAAGGAAGCTCAATGGTTAAGCGCTACCAGTAACCTGAGTCATCGCTCTGGTCTGAGTAACATTACAGTTCCTGTTAAATCTGTTCTCATGATTATATAATGTTATTTAAAACTTTATGATTTCTTCTCAGGAAACAATCAGGCATAGAAAGCTTAGAGATGTAACCACAGAGCTCTCCTTTATAGTCTGCTCCACCAAAGATTGCTGGAGACTGATAGCTGATCATCATACCTGATGGTGCCCCATACCTGACCCAACATACCACCGAGTCTATCTGCCACACTCTTATAACTCCTCTTCCAGCCTTTGCTGGGAAACCTCTGCAGATTATCCAGAACCTGAAGGTGTTTGGTTTTTCAGCCAGTCCAAAATAGAACACTTCATCCTTCTGTTTGTTGACCTCCACCGCCTCCCATCATGGCCCGTTTCCATTAGTACCAACTCTGCTTTTGGCTTAAACTCTTCCTGCTTTTTAGGCTTTTTTAATTGTAACTGTTATGTGGAGTGATGACCCTTTTGTCATTCCAATGGATGTGGTTCAAATCGTAATGAGTTGGGCTGAAGAAAAAGACTAAAATCAAGTTCCTGACAGTGCAAGCATGTTAGGGCGCCATCACACCTTGCCGATTTAGCCAGCGTATGCCTGACGTCCCAGAATTTCCTAAAACACTGGCATACTCTGAACTTTATATGTATTTTTTACATTTTGGGTGTATGCATAGCATATTCATAATGTCCAGAACTTATGTCCAAAAACAGCCTAACTTATGCATAACGTATAGCAGTGTACTGTTTATGAAAGTATGCACAAGCAGCCTTTCATAAACAGTACACTGCTGTACATGGGAATTCACTTGAAAAAAAAAGATTTTTTTTTTTCTTAAAATAAGTGCATTTGTTCTTGGATTGAGGAGGTAAGATAGACATTTTGCCAATGGAACAAGACAATTTACACTTAAAATAAGAAAACACAATTGCATTGTCTTGAAAAAGATAAAAATACTAATTCCATTTGCAAATCATCTTATTTACCTGCTCAAATTAAGGGTAAATACACTTAATTTAAGAAATATTTACTTATTTCTAGAATGTTTTTCTAGTGTATAAGAAAAAAAAACAAAGACTTTTTAAAATAATATTTTGGTAAGGGCACCACCATGTTGAACTACTCCAAAAGGTGATGGCACACTGCAAAAACGATCTAAATATGAGTAAAAATATCTTAAATTAAGTGTATTTGCCCTTAATTAGAGCGGGTAAATGAGATGATTTGCCAATGGAATTAGTATTTTTACTCTTTAAATAAGATAATTAGATAATATGCATTTGAAATAAGACAATATACTTGTTTTTTTCTTATTTTAAATGTAAATTCTCTGGATTCATTGGCAAAGTGTCTCCCTTACCTCCTTAATTCAAGAAAAAATTCACTTATTTTAAGAAAAAAATGACTTATTGAGATTTAAATTTTTTGCAGTGCAGGGGTTGGTCCATGTTTCATCTAGCAATTGAAAGCATTGGATATACTGGCAATACATCGCAACCATGAAACACCTAAAAAAATCTGATTACCGTAGATAAAAGATGAAGCTGAAAGGACACAGAAGTGTCTACATCCCTTTGATTTACTGTGTGACTCGTGCCATAGTAAGCAGAGAAGAGGCAGTTTTGAAGCCGGGGTTCTGACTATAAGTGCTACCATTATTAATAGGATTCGTGGAGAGTTCTGTGGCTGAAAGAACTCTCCCTGTCATACTTTAGCAGGAGTGAGAAAACTCAAACTGAAACACAAGAATATTGAATCTGTCGATGTCTTGATCCTGCTGTTCTCCAGGAACACTCCACAGATCGTCTGAAACAGACCACAGAGATCTTAAAGGGTATCAAGCTGCTGAAGCTGTACGCCTGGGAGGATATCTTCTGTGACAGCGTGGAGCAGACCAGAGGCAAAGAGCTCACCAGCCTGAGGACGTTTGCTTTCTACACATCCATGTCCAGTAAGATAAAGAGCACAAACATGAGCTTCAGTCATCTTTAGTCTTTTGAGTTCCTCAGCCATCTCCCTGTTTTCAACCCCTTAATGATGCAACTTTTAGAAAACCTTCTAACTGGCTCTTTGAGAGTTTGTCAGTTTCTCTTTAAGATTCAGTTTCTTTGAAACTCACAAAAAGACAGTTTGATGCCTTTTTTGTTTAAACCACCAAATATTTAAGAAGAATCCGACATAATGTTGGTTCATATGAGGAAACACACTTTATTTGAGGCCAGTGTGTTTTAACTGTGGCCTTCTTCAGGGTTACTGGTTTCTGAGTATAAATCAGCCTTAAGGCTCTGGCAATTAAATAATAATGGCTAACAAAAAGGCCTTCTTATATGAGAGCCACTTTAGGTCCCTTTTCACCAAGGGCTCATAAGGGGAACAGTACCAAAGGCAGATCCCAGTCAGGGAATCAAGGAGTGAGTGGTGGGCGCAACCTATGAGCACTGTGCAGAAAATAAGAGACCAGACCATGCCCCCCCACCGTACAGTCATCAGCAGGTGCATGATGACATGAGATTGCTGCCACATGTGCCTTAATCCCTTATCATGTAGGGACTAGAGAAACTCTAGAACAGAGGGCACTACGCAGGAAACTGGTTCCTCATTACGGGGGTACCACTAACAGTAGAGTACCACTAAGAAAATAGACACCATCCGACATTGTAATGCCCTCAAGTGGAGGGTGCCTGGCACTCAATATGGTGCGCCGAACAGAGTCTAAAAGTCAGTCAGCCTCCCAGTGGCCATACCCACAGCTGGAGCATTGAGGGTTGGGGGCGCCATATTCTTCCCCCCAACTAAAGTCCCATTTACATTACCCTCCATAAACCGATCCGTGCCGAGTTCCGACAGAGCTTGGATGAGTTGACTGGGCTTGGTTCCTTATGACTGTTTACAAATCACGCTAGCACCGTTCCTCGCCTCCTTGTGAGGATCTACGGTGCTACTGCTCTCTACAGAAAATCAACATGGCAGCGCCCATAACATTCAATAAGTTTGGTTATAATTGTAATATTTTGCTGTTTGTGAAGAGCCAGGAAAAGAAGGCAGCCTTTGGTGAATTTAATTAACAGAGTCGGCTTTTGGGAAGTGGATACGACAAATGGTCATCTAATCAGGCTTACAGATGCAGGAAACAACGGCAGACATTGAGTTTCATCCCACTGCTAAGCAGAATCATCACTGGAAATCGTGTGGCATGCTAATGAAGCTACTATTTTGTTAATGTCTTAAATGTCATGATTACAGAGGCTGACTGTTAGGAGATGACGCGCTACTCTAATGCGCTCTTTGTTATCTGAAATCCGAGCCAGAACTGAACCGCACCAAGGCCTACTGATGAACTAGTACCAGTTTAGCACGGTCGGTTGTGTCTCACACGGTCTGGTTCAGCATACAGGAGAACCCGGATGCACTAGCATCCTGGTCTAATGCACCCAATCCTAATTATTATTATCTAACTATTGCTTCTAATGTCCCTTCCGGAATATTGCAGAGGGTATTTAATTGACTCCTCTGTTGCAAACAGATCCACCTCTGCTCGACCAAAGCGGTTACATGCGCCACATTGCGGTGAAGGGACCACTCTCCCAGAGCAGGAGCCTAGTGAGAGAAAGAGTCTGCGATATGATTGTTCACCCAAAGTAAATACATTGCCCATAGGGTGGACAGGAGAAGATTAGCCCATTTCAGGTGATCTCGGGACACCTTCAGAAATCGTGCCAATGTGGTCCGTCCCTGATGGTTTATTTGGTAAACCAGAGAGCTGTTATCCATCCCAACCAGCACCTACTTTACTTCTAGGTAGAGCCATGTGCACGACAGCTTCAGAACATGTATATGCTCTCCCATTGAGGTGCCAACCAACCCATGCGACTGGCATCTGTGCTGACTACTTCCCCGCGGCACAACACTTTCCCCGCAGGGACATTCTGCCTTGTCTAGGGGCCAGAGTAGAGCTGTTGAGCCACCTTTAAAAAGGGTGCAGAAAGAGCAAAACCAAGGGCACAACACGAGTAACAGAAGTTTTGCCCAGAAGACATAAGGAAACTGCCTACCCAGCCATAATTTACTGACCAGCTTGAGTATGTCATCCACCCTATGAAAGTTGACCAAGTTGACACTGAGGCCCCACTGTGACACCTTACCTGAGGAAGTAGCGATGCTCTGTCGCAGTAGCCACCTGAAAGTAGGCGTCCCTCAGATCTATAAACCAGTCTACGTTTGCAGTGGCCTGAAGAACCTCTAATATCTGGAGCATGTGGAATGGAAGGGCCCCTCAGATCCAAAATGGGCTGAAAACCACTTGCTGTACATCAAGGGTAAAGAAACTACCAGGTCTTTCCCCAGTCTGAGGCTGCAGCCGAACACTGGAGCTAGCAGGATGCCTCGAACGCGAAGCGGTGAGCTGGAAGAGGAGGCGCGAATGCTGCCATCACCAACGTTCACATCACCTTCCTCGCAAGTCTAGGGGGTTTGCAACAGGGAAGGGAATATTACCCTAGCCTCGGTAACCATGGCCAGACACACCTGGTTTAATCAGTTCATCCAGAGTAATGAAAGACAGGACACAAAAAGCTCAGTAGTGGAGTTGCACATACTGTAGAGCCCATTGGTCTTCTGGATAGACCCCAGAACCATCTGTATGGATACAACTAGCTCTAAGCTAATGCTAGTAGAGCTGAATCTAGATGTTTCATCCTGTATGAAACTGTTTGCTGCATCATCAGTGACTTAAAACATGTTTTCTTTTTGCAGTTTTCATGAACGCTGCTATTCCCATCGCTGCCGTTCTTGCTGTAAGTGTCTTTATTTCCACACATCTGTTTATTTCAACCTTTTTCTCTGGTTTGATTCAGTCGTACTGTGATACTAACAGCAGTTTAGCTTACTTACCACAATGGTGAAACCTCAAACTCTTTCTTCATAGACGTTTGGGGTGCATCACTTCCTCACCAGCAGCATTCCCAGTCCTTCTCATGCCTTCGCAGCTCTGGCGCTTTTTCACATCCTGGTCACTCCACTCTTCCTGCTCTCTACTGTGGTCAGGTTTGCGGTGAAGGCCCTCGTCAGGTGAGTTTTCCAGAGACATTCCATTATTTTCGTTTTGGATGGGACCTAACATGTGGACAAAGTGGAGATCCGAAAAATGGCTGTGACATTGGGGAGGGGCAGCCTGGTGGTTTGGGCATTGAGCCCCACTCCCACAGACTGCCACTCTGGGTCCCTGAGCAAAAGACCTTTAACTCCACACTGCTCCCCAGGCGCCAGAAAATGGCAGCCCACTGCTCCCCAAGGGTTAATTTCGCTACTGGGTCCTTGTGACAGTGTAATGTAAATAAAAAGCTATGTTTTCGACCTTGTCTCATTGGTCGAAACGTTTGTCTGCTTTCCTGCAGCGTCCAGAAGCTCGGTGAGTTTCTTCAGAGTGATGAAATCGGAGATGACAGCTGGAGAAATGGAGACATATCCGTTTCCCTGGACGTTGGGAAGAAACACCTGGGAATGGTGAGAGCTGCTCATAACACGCCACTCATTAAAACCAGGAACTGCGATGCGAGCACAAATGGAGATGGCCTGTCAGTCAGAGTTTATTTTTATTAGTTTGGTCTTCACCTTTAAAATTAATTGTTTGAATTTATAAAAATATATATATAAAAATAGTTGATCAAACAGCTGAAAGGATTTAAACCTGTTCTTTCTTGTATGCACTGATCCTATAATGTTGGTACTCAAGGGCCCCTTTCCTGCAGGTTTTAGAGGTTTCTATGCTTAAAGCCGGGCATACACTGTGCAATTCTTTGCCCTATGTGGGCCGACTTTTCAGTCGTGTGAAAATTTTCAGATCAGCCCGAGTTTCAGCCTGATTGTGCGTAGTGTAGTGTACAGGGGCTAAAGAGGGGCAATCAGCCTCTCACCACCTCCCGATCAGGAATCGTGAAGTCGGTAGAAAATCAAACATGTTACATTTTCAGCCGACCGTGGTGGGCAAATCGCTCAGTGGGCAAACAAGGATTCTTCTTTTTCTTCTTCCTCTCAGATGCAAACACAGAAGCATGGCCGGGGTGCGAGTGAAATGGAGTTCTTTCTGTAAAATTGACAGACCGTAGTAGCCACGTTTGCTCAGCCATGTCTTTGACCAAATACGTCGTCTACTTTTCTTTTTAGGGCTTTCAGCACAAAATTGCACAAATTGCCAAGGAAGCGCGTTTCACTCGAGTGAGCTTCATATTCCTCTTCTACTCGTTTGGCTTCCGGATAAACGAGTCTGAGTAGCGCTATCTCACTACGGAGCTAAGTCCCATGTGGTTTATAGACGTACAGTGTGAGCAGGTAGATCGCATCAGAGCATCGTGCTGAACACACATTGTGAGCTGTGAACTCGTACGAAGAAACCCTGCGGTTTTGTCGTACATTGTGAGCTGTAGCTGTGTGCAATGATTAAAAAAAAAAAAAATTGCAAGTGTATGCCCGGCTTTAGTACAGCTAATTCTGATGTTTGCAGTTCAGGAAAAGCCTGTAAATCTACTATGAAGGTAAATCAGATGTGCTGGAGCAGGGAAACCTCTAAAACCTGCAGGACAGCGGCTCTCAAGGACCGACTTTAGGAATGCCTGCTGTAGAGGATCTTTTGTTTTTGGGGATGCCTAACGTTCCCCCCCCTCCATTATGATCCTACTGTCGTGTAAAGACCACAGCCATCAACAGGAAGGGGCCGAAGCGCTACCAGATGGACCACTACGAGCAGCCGAGCCGGCGCGCGATGAGACCCATGGAGACGGAGAACGTGGCAGTAAAGGTCAGGTTCAAAGTGCAGACGTTTTACAGCTTTGTTTGGTTTTCTAGACTCAATATGGATGTCAGCAAGGGACAGTGAGGGAGACTAGCTTCTGATCTACAGTTCTCAGGGCTTCAAAAGGGTCAAAAAAAGTTGATTGGAAGTAACCAAAAACAGCTATGAAACTTTAAAGCTGACTCTGTTACTTTCCATGACTTTGTAGTTTCTTCACAGAAACTTTCTCAGAACTTTCCGGAAAATTTTGATAGAAGTTTTCTGGAACTACCCAGTGTTGTGCTAGTTACTGAAAAGCAGTAACTAGTTTCTGTTACTAGTTACTTCATTTCAAAAGTAACTTAGTTACTAACTCAGTTACTTACACCATAAGGTAATGCGTTACTGTGAAAAGTAACTATTTAGTTACTTTTTTTTTTTTTAAAGGTTCACATTATGCCCTTATAGCCTTTATTTCAGAAATGTTATTGCACTGGAGAATAATACCATCTGTTGAAGAACTTGACATGCATTTGCAACATGAAACTCTGCTAAGCAATTCTATATACAAGCAACAAAGATACACTATATTGCCAAAAGTATTTGCTCACCCATCCAAATTATTGGAATCAGGTGTTCCAATCACTTCCATGGCCACAGGTGTATAAATTCAAGCACCTAGGCATGCACTGTTTTTACAAACATTTGTGAAAGAATGGGTCGCTCTCAGGAGCTCAGTGAATTCCAGCGTGGAACTGTGATAGGATGCCACCTGTGCAACAAATCCAGTCGTGAAATTTCCTCGCTCCTAAATATTCCACAGTCAACTGTCAGCTGTATTATAAGAAAATGGAAGTGTTTGGGAACGACAGCAACTCAGCCACGAAGTGGTAGGCCACGTAAACTGACGGAGCGGGGTCAGCGGATGCTGACGCGCATAGTGCGAAGAGGTCGCCAACTTTCTGCAGAGTCAATCACTACAGACCTCCAAACTTCATGTGGCCTTCAGATTAGCTCAAGAACAGTGCGCAGAGAGCTTCATGGAATGGGTTTCCATGGTCGAGCAGCTGCATCCAAGCCATACATCACCAAGTGCAATGCAAAGCGTCGGATGCGGTGGTGTAAAGCACGCCGCCACTGGACTCTAGAGCAGTGGAGACGCGTTCTCTGGAGTGACGAATCGCGCTTCTCCATCTGGCAATCTGATGGACGGGTCTGGGTTTGGCGGTTGCCAGGAGAACGGTACTTGTCTGACTGCATTGTGCCAAGTGTAAAGTTTGGTGGAGGGGGGATTATGGTGTGGGGTTGTTTTTCAGGAGCTGGGCTTGGCCCCTTAGTTCCAGTGAAAGGAACTCTGAATGCTTCAGCATCCCAAGACATTTTGGACAATTCCATGCTCCCAACTTTGTGGGAACAGTTTGGAGCTGGCCCCTTCCTCTTCCAACATGACTGTGCACCAGTGCACAAAGCAAGGTCCATAAAGACATGGATGACAGAGTCTGGTGTGGATGAACTTGACTGGCCTGCACAGAGTCCTGACCTCAACCCGATAGAACACCTTTGGGATGAATTAGAGCGGAGACTGAGAGCCAGGCCTTCTCGTCCAACATCAGTGTGCGACCTCACAAATGCGCTTCTGGAAGAATGGTCAAAAATTCCCATAAACACACTCCTAAACCTTGTGGACAGCCTTCCCAGAAGAGTTGAAGCTGTTCTAGCTGCAAAGGGTGGACCGATGTCATATTGAACCCTATGGATTAGGAACGGGATGTCACTTAAGCTCATATGTGAGTCAAGGCAGGTGAGCAAATACTTTTGGCAATATAGTGTATGTTTCAAAGGGCCAAGTTATTTCAGGGTAGAACAAACTGACAATGCTAGTTGCCTGCAAAATTGCACTTTACAGCAGGCGGCCTGCTATAATTTGTTCCCCCCTTATAACTTTAAGAAATAAAGGTCCATCACCTCCAAAGTTTCAGGAATAAATTGTCATCATAAAAGATGTTTATAAGCCAAAAATGAAAAAGCTGGGGCCTTTTTTGTCTCATTTAGACAGGGGGAACAGATTACGGCAGGTTTTATTTCATCCCATATTGCCAATTCTGGCAATATGGGATGAAATAAAACGGCTGATGTTAGAAGACAAACTGTTTATTAAGGATAGTACAACAGTGATAAATTGTAAGTTAATATAAAACACAAATATAGATTTAAGTACTAAATTTCAACCAGGAAAAATTTATTTTCTTCTGTATATAGTCTTTAATGATTACACGTGCACTTCATTTTGTATTTCATTTTTATTACAAGTATATGGTTTACAACAGTTTTCAATGGGATGAGAACATTTGGACACTGAAACAATGAGAGATTTTTTTAAGGAACGTGTGGAAAAGAACAAGGATCTGTTTGCTTTCAGAGGGAGGAGTAGACACTGCTGTCAGCTACCAGCTTTCAAGCAAACGTTTGTGTTTTATTATTAGTTTTAAATCAATATCACTGGCGATATTCTGCTATAACATGTGAAGTAAAGAATAAAACAGTAAAGCTCAACTTTCATACACGTTAAACCTTTCTAATTTCAAGTTCTGCGCGTTGGAATTGAGGCGGAGTTAAGTCGGGTTGTTCGTCCTACTCCGTGCGCGCTCCCGACGAGGGGATACAAATTTTCCCAGGGATAACTACCTTGGCACGACACCGGTAGCTTCTAGCTTCGTCGCAGCATGTTGCTTTTGTAGGTGTTTCAACAGATTACAGTTGCTGTTCTGGGCTGTAGATAGGATCAAAGATTCTAAGGCACAAATTGTAAATTAATGAGAATATCTCTAAGTGAAGAAACTCGACTTGGGCTCTGCAGCAGCCGCCATGATGACTAGTGTTGGTAAACACAAACACGCCCTCAGCATGTTTCCTTCCTGTCTCCCTCACTCTAACACAGGAAGACAATACTTCACTGCAGCTTTTAAGTCTCTAGCTGATCCCGAAACTAAAAAATAACGCAGTAACGCATCATGTAGTAATGTTAACGGAGTTACTGAATTTAAAAACTTAACGCGTTAGCGTACTAGTTAGTGAAAAAAATACCGCCGTTACAGTAACGCGTTAGTCCCAACACTGGAACTACCACATGTCTCTCAAGTACTTATACAGAAAACTTCTGAGTATTTTTGTAGAAAATACTGTTTATCATACAGCTTCCTTTAGTAATCTAATGTCTTTCATGAAAGTTACTGGATAGTTTTATCAATGCCAGTGTCAACACTTTTCTCAAACTGTACTTAGTTGAATTCTCCGTTTCAAGGATCCACTGGTTCAATTCTTAGAACATTACCAGAGCTTTATCTCTTCATAGTTGTTACTTTTTATTAATATTTTCATGAACTTTAATTAATGCAAATAGCCTTTATTGTCCCATGGGGAAGATTCTGCTGTCAGCAGCATAGCAAACGGGTAAATAAAATAATAAATGTTCACATAAGACCTAAAGAACAACAACCGCAGCAAAGTTTAGGTCATGGGTACTTTAAACTTTCTAGATATTTCCCTGGAACATTTGCAGACCTTAATAGTTGATTTTATTTAAATTTCTCTGGATTTATTTTAGAGAAAAAGAGTTTTCTGGAAATTATGTAGAACATTCTGCCTATTCTTTTAGAACTTTCCCAAATTTACTGGTACTTTCAGGAACTTACTTGGAATATATTGGTTCTTTTCTCCGAATGTTGCTCTGATTTACGGTTTGCTTTTATAGAACCTGCCCCAAACTTCTTATTCATGTCCCAGAACCTATTAGGGTTTGTTGTTTTTTTTCCCGGAAGTTGCTGATTACTTTCCAAAAACGTTTCCTTTTTAGATTGTTTTTTTTATTAGAGCACATCTTAATATTGACACATACAAATCAATACACTCAGCACAACACTAATGAAATATTGCACAAAAATAAAAATTCTAATAATACAATCCATTGTATTAGTCTTTTTCCTGCTTCACAAAGGTAGGCAGCAGCTTCACAAAGCCATGATGGCAATTATTTTACATCCAAGTAGTATGCAGTTCTTCATATATACACCTACACACATCAATTTCAAACAAATGGTATCGGTATCAGACGATACTGCACAGCCAGGTATAAGTGCCAAAAAGTGGCATCGGGGCAACACTACTTATAACCAACACAAAATTCAGCAACAGGCACCTTCAGTTGGGCAAAACTTCTAAGTTTGAAAAATAGTTAAAGCATTTCCAACTTCTGTGTAGACCAGAGATCACAGATTAGCGGACCGCAGTCCAGATCCGGATCCACCTGCTTGCTAATCTGGACCTAACCTGATTTAAAACATTTGACGACAGTGTCTAATTTCACTTGCGCTGCTTCTCCTGTTAATATGGTAAAGCCAGGCATGCTTTAGTGGTGCAGTGGTTAGCACACATGACCCATGTATGGAGGACTTAGTCCTCAACGCGGGCAAAGGTCCGGGTTCCAATCCAGCCTGTGGTCCTTTCCCGCATGTCTCTCCCCCTCTCTCATACCCCCTTTCCTGTCAGCCTACTGTCTATAAAAAAAAAACAAGCCGCTAGTGCCGTAAAAATGAAAAAACAAATACATATATATACATACATATATATATATATACATATACATATACATATATATACATACATATACTGTATATATACATATACATACATATACATACATATATACATATATACATATATACATATATACATATATACATATACATATATACATATATATATACATATACATATATATATACATATACATATATATATACATATACATATATATATACATATACATATATATATATATACATATATATATATATATATACATATACATATATATATATACATATACATATATATACATATATATATATATATATATACATATACATATATATATATACATATACATATATATACATATACATATATATATATACATATACATATATATACATATACATATATATACATATACATACATATATATATAT